CTTCTAGGGCTTGCCGTGGATGCTTCTGTCATTTCACCAGACTTCATCACAACCGCCCAGATCTTTAAGATGATGTACGAGATGGGGTATACAGATGTTCTAACATCTGTTGCAAAGTAAGAAATCATGTCTTCCATCTCAGTGGAATGGATTGCTTACCCTTTTAATTAAGGGTTTAGCGGAGCGATGTGGTGGTTCCGACACCACCAGCAAAGGATTTCTTACAATGCTGTACGGGCTTTACAACGGAATCAATCTTGACTATGGGTCGATTCTCTGGTCTCAAGTGGTTCAGAGTCTCAACTCTACCGCAAGGCACTCAGAAATTTCATGCGCCAGGTTTTGGACCCTCATCACCAGGAGAGCCATTGATTCTCTTGACATCCCTGTCATGAAGGATGTTCTTATGGCTTCAATTGCCACATACCACACCAAGAAAATCATTCTCTCAGATCCAAGTAAGTTCCTCCACTATGGACTAATCCCTGAGTCCATGTACAGATGCGTCACGCCCCACAGCAAGATTATGGCGGACTACAGCTCCAGAACCCCCCTGCCTCCTAGGGTTCTTTCCGAGGAACAACGTGCAGCTCTTGAGGCTCTGGATCAGCCTGCTAACCGGGGCAAAAGAGTGAGCAAAAAGGAGAAGGCTGAGATGAAGGAACCCGCACCCCAAACGGAGAAAAAGAGAAGGTCCTCCAAACGCAAATCCGAGGCAGAGGAACCTTCTCAGCCCAGAACGAAAAAGGTCAAGAAGATGGCTAAAAGAGCCAAAGGATCTCCTTCTAAATCAAAACAGAATGCACCATCCGAAACAGAAGATGTTGATCCTCAACCCGAAACTACACCCGTTTCGTCTCCACAAAACTCACCTACCCCACCAGCCGTTAATCCTAAACCCGAAACTCACCCGTTTCGTCTCCACAAAACTCACCTACCCCACCTAAATCTCCCCAAATTACCAAATCTCCTTCTCCTCCTCTTCCCCAAAATTTCCAACCCCAACCCAATCACCCAAACAGAACATCTCAAGTTCTGTTCCAACATCAATTTCCCAAACCACAACCGAAACCACTATTCCTTCACCATTTCTCAACCTTCATCTTCTATCTCCCAACCTATTATCACAGAATCTATCACCATAACCACAACCCAACCACCAGTAACGGTCAACGTATCTGATACGGGGGCTGCTTCTGTGGTTGAAACCCCGGTCATCAATCTTCAATCCTCCCCTTCTCCATCTTCCAACTCCGGTGCTACCCTAGGGGGTGATGATGAAGAATTTGATTCCATCTATTACAGCCCTTACCGGATCCCTACCGACACCGATACAGATACCCCTGTGTCAAGTCAGCAACTTCAAGAGATTCACGCAAAACTCGACAGTCTGCTGGCTGACAGTAAAGCATATGGGGGTGCTGTGCTGAAGGCTTTTATCGAGTCAGCGATCCAGACTTACACCGAAGCCTTGGATCGCTCTACTGACGCTGTAGAGAATTCAGCGGCCTCATGCTCCAAAGCCACTAAGGAAGTTTCTGAGGTTGTTCATACAACTCAGATCTTTCTTGATTCTCTCAAGGCTCATGCTGACTCAAATGCTTCCAAATTTCAAGCGTCAGTAGACTCGTTCACAGCCACCCTTCAGGGAGAAACCAGGAAATTTGAGGCTCTGCGTGCTGACCTCAAAACTGAATCCACTTCAATTCTCAAATCTTTGGATTCACGTTTTGCCTCTTTGGCAGCCGAGAGCACCCTGAAGGAAGAAGTTATCAAGCACCAGGCAACTATTGACTTACAGAAAGTTCAACTGGCCCAGGCACAACAAGAAATCACTTTGCTTCAAACTCAACGGGCAGTTCTTCAGAGTTGCGCTGGTGACGTTAAAAATCTGTTAACCGGTGTTCTTGACTCCCATGATCCCTTCCTAACCCTCACTATTCGTCAGCATCTCCAGGCGAAACTCCTTCCGGCAATCACTATCCTAAGTGAAATGAAGGGTGTCTCGGAGAAGCCTGTTCTTCCGAGACAAGGGGGAGAGGAAGGTATGTCCAAACAGAACCGAAGGGTAATGTAGCTTCGGGTTCTGGTAAACATGTCCAAGTTGAGAGCGAATCAGAATCAGATGAAACCATTACTGAAGCTCTTCAACGCAAGAAACGGGACAGAGAGCTTGATGAAACATTGAAGATAGCTCGTGAGGCAGAAGCCAGAGAAAGGAAAATCCGGGAGGATGAGGAGGCAATTCAAGCTAAAAAGACTCTGTTCCCAGATTGGGACAGAGACACACTCATCACTCAAGCAATTGAGTTTCCTTCTATTTATTGGTTGGAACCGATTGCATCTTTTGAGTGTGAAAATTCCAAAGACTCGCAGTTCGACATGCCCATTACGCGTAAAGCCTTCACTTTTCACTGCTTTGATGTCACTGCAAACGTCCCTCATCCGAACCCGAAGGTTGACAGGGAGCTTATCGATTTCTATCTGAAATTCGGTCAACCTCAGTACTTGACTTGGAGTGCCCAGAAAATTATTAGAGTCAAGGTACTGAAACCAACCCAGGCTGGGAAATTTGTAAACGTCAATTTCAAAATCAACAGAGGAACTGCCAACACCGAACATCTTATTTCTCTGGCAGATCTTCCCAGTCTGAACCCCACGATTGGATCTTGCTATACAACATTCTTCTCTCCAACCAGAGAGAATATGAACCAATTCTTTCTCATCTTAAAAGAATGTTGGCTTCCTATGTCCATGAGCTAGCCACTATGGATCAGGAAATAGCAAAGGTGATGAATAAGAAACCGACTGTCAAGCCCACTTCCAAAACCGGAGATGTCCATAAAATGAAGTTGGGGCAGATTGATTCTTCCAATCTGACAGTTATGTTCACAAGGGGGATAAGCACAAGTTTCTGTTTGCGTTGGTAGACAAGCATCTGTTCTCTACAGAGTGTCTGGAGCACATCATCAATATCATTCACCGATGCAAACAGAACACAACAGCAGATAAGAAGAACTTTACAGATATGCTTCGTTGGTATATTACCTTCAGGCATCATATTCTGGCTTTGATACCGAAAATTTTTCAAACGGTAAAGAAGCCATCTGCTTTGAAGACAGAGTGAAGATCTCGCCCCAAATTGACGCAAAGGGGGAGATTGTTGGGCTTAGAAGATTGCGTCTTTTGGGCTCGTTTGTTTATAATTCTTTGTATTACGGTTTGGGCCTGTCCAACCGTGTGTCTTTTATGCTTTGTATATAAGCTTATGCTTGCATGCATATTAGGTTAAGGTTTTAGAGATCTGAGAATACAATTTTTCCAGACGACTAAAGGTTTCTTTAATCATACTTGTAACCTTCCAATCCTCTACAGTTGATGTTCTTAATCGAGCTCTTCTGAGGATTTTGTTTTAATCATTCAACACGTTTGATTCATTCTTGTTCCATAATTTTACTGTGTTTATATCGTCATTGTTTTCATAACTTGTTCAAGGTCTTATCGATCTTTAAGATTAAAAGGTTATTTAATCTCATCACAAGGTCAGAGTTCGACAGAAGCTTTTGAGAGCTACGATTGCCAGTTGGTTCCTGAAGTCATACGCAATAATAGTTTTGACTTATCCAAGTGGGAGACTGTTGGATTAATGTCTAAGTCCATAACTATAATTGGTAAGACTTGACCCGACCCGGCATGGTCCATTTGGGTTGCATACCATCATGCACTTGGATAGACTAAATGAGAGAAATAAGACACTTATGGTTATTAATATATTATAAGTTCTAGTATATTAATAATAAGAATAATGAGATTATTTAATTAGTATTGATCAAGAATTTAATCTAGCATTAATTGAGTGATCAAAAGAAGACTAATTAAATATATGGGTTGATTGTGTAATCATCCATACTTGTATAGTGGGCTAATGCTCCATGGATTATCTAGTTGGGCCAAAACCCATATGATGCTCCATGGATGCTCCATGGTGTATTTGAACCCATGGATCCAAGGAAATGGAAAGTCATGACAATTAGGGTTTACCCTAATTGTATACTATATAAGCATCTTATTCTTGAGGAAAAATCGGCCACTAGTGAGAGTAAGAAAGGGCTAGCCGATTTCATGAAGTGTATAATTCTATCTAAGTTATTCTAAGTGTTTTGATGATTGTGAACCATTTGAGGTGTCACACTTGGGGCACTAGGCACTCAAGCTTCATGAAGACAAGCTCCATCAAAGAGGTATGTATTCTATCTTGTTATATTGATAGTTGTGTATGCTAGTTTAGGATAATACCTTGGATATTCATATTTGCATGTATAATAGAGAAAACATAGATCCAAGGTATTTAGGGTTGCATGTACACTTAGGAGTGTTAGAATGCTCATAACCCAACATTAGGATCTTCAGAGGGGTTGTGGAATGGGGCCCTGGATAATTCAGCTAGATCAGTTTTGGTCCAAGAGTTGAAATCATGGGTGCTTATGTAACATTCAGATGCTCCTGATTTTTGTTTTACAACCCACAAATTCGTCACTGGATCAAAGGCCCACATTCGGATGCCTGTCCTGTCACCATACTCATGACCGAACTTTCTTTTCTTCAAATCTGTTACTGTCAAGACCTTCGCATTGTTTTGCATTTACAATTCTTTTGCCATGCTTGATTGTGATTCTGGCTCTGCTTCCTTCAGGTTCTTTTTCAAATCTGTCGATAATGGTAGTTGTTCTTAGAACAGGTGGGTCTACAAGTAGATCATCAATTGCAGGAGGTGATTGAACAGAAGAAGGATCAACTACTCCATGAGGCTGTTGGAAGAGGGCTTTGACTTTCTCACCAAAAGCATTATACAATACATTCTTGAGATTGAAATAATTAGCTAGAATAGATCCAAGACTCATTTGTAGATCCTTGATCTGTTTGGTCTTTTCTTCATCTTTTGCCCTGAGCTAAAAAATATGTGCAGAAAGCTGATCCATCTGAATTGACTTTTCAATGAGCTATTGACACAGAATTCCAATTTCTTCTCGAAGATTAGATGAAGAGGATTTGTCATCATCTGTCCGACCCTCGTTAAATGACATTCCTTTTCCGCGTGAAGAGGTTGGACTAGATTGACCCAGATGTTTTACTAATCGGATAGAAGCTTCATCAAGAGAAGATCGTGTTGGAGAATATTCTAGAATAGAAGAGGATCCACCAGTATCGAACATGGTGCTTGGACCTTCATCAGTCTGCTTTGAAGAAGAGTGAGCAAAGGTTGCATTGATTGTTGAAATAATTTGAGGAGCACATTTTACAGAGGGTACCTCCAGACTTTCAGGAGATTGGCTTGTTCTTATGGAGGTCTGAGAAGTCTGAGGTTCAGATAACATAGAAATGACTGGAGTTGATGTTGAGACATGTGACACAGAGGGAGGAATCTCTGATGTCACATCTCCTTGGCTTGCTGTGATTTCCAAGGGCTTTGAGGTAGAGAGCGAAATTTTGAGAAAATTTCCTTCATCTCTAGTCTTGTTTGCTAGAGAAGCAAGTTCATTGACTTTATTTACACGGCTGCTGGGAATATCAAGAAAAGGATTAAAATCTTCATCACCAAAATCAAACTCTATGTTTGTTGGAATGTCATCATTGATTCATGTAAAGTCGATTTCTTTAAAAAACTCTACATCTTCATAAAGATCATCGTCATCGTCCCCTCGAGAAGATTTTGAATCATTTGCTTTCTGATAATCATGCTCATCAGCTACACAAGCTGTGGGAGAGTGATGAATCTCCTCCACTACAAGCTCGGAGGGAGAGTGATGAATATCTTCATTTTCCATTGGCATGGATTAATCTGCTGATTCTTCTCTGACATCCTCTTTAAAAATTACAAATTTTATTAATGGAAATTTTCCTTCAAATACAAATTTTCTGCCTCTCTTTTGCTTCATTAATCCAAAGACACTTGGACCAATGGATTTTAAATCCAGAGTTACATTTCCTCTTTGCAACATGGGGTAAGTTACGTTAAGGATGATTTGTAAAAATCTTGGATACATACAAAATTTGTCTCTTTTGCTTCCTTCAATATTTAGTACCATTTCATTCATTATGAATATTGAGAAATTAAACTCAAAACCTGCTGCCAATGCAGTAATGGCACCAGTATTGGCTAGAGAAATCTCGTTAGCTCCTGATCTCCGGCTAGAAACGCAACTCACGAACACATGAGCCAAAAGCTTCCAGCATGGAGGAAGCAGCTTTTTGATTGTAGGAGGAAAAGTTCCTTCGTATCCCATATGCTCTAAAATTTTCTCAATTTGATGAACGTCAATCTCCATGAGGTACTCAGGTCTGTCCTCAATTTAAGGAGATTCTTTGATGATGCTTTCTGTAACTAGAATTTTCTTGTCTTCGATTGTGGTTTCATGAAATTTTTCACCTCGATCATTCTTCTTTACATCAGCATTTCTCTAGAAATCCTTAATCAAACTTTGATAGATAGCATGATTTGTAGTTAAGTAATGAACCAAGCATGATTTCTTCAAACCATCCACAATGAATTTCAAGTCACTGTGGGCTGCAGGAGGATCTTCAAGAAAAATTGCAGAATTATGAGCTTTAGCGAACTCCATGTCTCCCATTTTAATGAAAGTTAACACATGAAATTATTAGGGCAACATATAAGAATGATGTAGCCGCACATGGAGTTACACACAGCCGCACACGCACATATGTAGCTGTACAAGGTCAACCGCACACATTTATTCATGAAAAAGTGTGGTAGCACACGGTCAGCCGCACACGCTTATACATGAAAGAGTGTGGCAGCACACGGTCAGCCGCACACGAACGTGTGCGGTTACACTTGAAGATAAACAAATTTTTATGATGATTCAACAACAAACTATATAACAATTTTTTGAAAGTAATTAAAGTCAGTCGTGTTCATGAAAATTACCGAGTAAAAGCTTGTTTTAACAAAAAAACTTAATCGAAATTTAAAGAGTTTGAGAGAGTGAATATGTGTGTGCGGTTGAAGCAAGGAATAGTAACTATACGATTTTCACCGCACACGCACACTATATATATGCAAAAATTTTCACTTCCCCCCTTTTCCTTTAATTATTTATCCCAAAACCGCTTTCACTTCACAATTTTCTCAAAAATGAATTATTTTGAGGATTAATAGAATATTAATTTCAAAGATCAAGAAAAAATTTAAAATAAAATAAAAAATAAAAATAAAATAAAACTAAAAAAATTATAAAAATAAAATAATAAAAAATAAAATGAGATTGAAAATACTATTGACGACAAGAATCAATTTAAACCTATATAAATTGTTTTAACCTGTTGAGGTGTAGGGATCAAAGTTTTTAGACAACCATTATCCGCTTGTCGGTACCTTTCATATTCACATCTTTGTCTGGTCGATTGTCGGTATTGTTGTCCACTTAAACACGAAAAATTGCGACAAAATTAGGACATACTATAAGTGACAAGACATGTGATCTTAAATTCCTAGATATTATATATGATGCTAAGTTTCTAGATAATATATCATACTTTATCTTAAGGACCATTAGATGACGATGACCAGGGATATTGTTGTCCACCTAAATTGAGCAGCGAGATCTATAGACAATCTTTGAGTGTTCAGTTTTTAATTGTACTGGAACATGTTTCCCGCTTCCAGATATGCCCCGGTAATCAAGGAGTTCCAGAGTACTCCTTACATCGGATGAGCAGACCATCATTAGGGGAGAAGATAGATTCAGAGTATTATCACTTATAGTGCATATGCTGTGTACCAGGTCGGATTGTTAGTCACGCAAAGGAGACAACATATGGCTAACAAATAAGAGGAATTTCATATATGTATATGTATAATATGCAGAGAAATAGTGTTGCATATGTTACAGTCCAGGTCGGATCTCTTCGAATCACGCAGAGGAGGTAACATATGACTGACAGACAGAAAGAAAGAAAATGATTTTCGACAGACCTAATTTATTGGAATTTACCAGTTTTCCCACCAATACCGGAATTGAGGACAAAATCCGCACATGGAGGAAAAGTTAAACCACGGTTCTAGATACGGGGTCATTTAATGTGACTAGTAGATTCTCATATATATCTCCCTACTCAACCTATCCGAGCGTCGTATTGTCAAGCTAAACGGAACTATCTAGGTCAAGATTTGTCAAGTCATTTGATTTCCTAAGTTCAATTCTGCCTAGTCATGTCCATTTAGAATCTTTCGTGCCTACCGACACATCAAACCAGAGCATAGACCCTTCAACTTTGGGTACGTTACACAGACTCAGGTTGCCTGTTATTACATGATCATGTCACTTCCCAGAACATCTCCCTCAAACAAAATTTCTAATTTTTAATGTTTTTGGATTTTCTATTTTTTAATGTTTTTGGTTTTTCTAATTTTTTAATGTTTTTGGATTTTCTATTTTTTTAATGTTTTTTTTGGATTTTCTATTTTTTTAATGTTTTTGGATTTTCTATTTTTCTCCCCCTAAATTTGTGCATAAAAATAAAATGAAATAAAATGCGCAAATTTAAAAAAAATAAAAAAATAAAAAATTAATCCTCAAAACGAATCATTTTTAGAAAATTAACTAGCACATCGAATCGAGCTTTGTTAAAAGGCTTGGTGAACAGATCTGCTACATTATTATCAGAGTGGACCTATTCTAGCCGAATGAGCAAACGCTCATAACATTCTCGAATAAAATGAATCTTGATGTCGATGTGCTTGGTTTTTGAGTGCTGGATCGAGTTTTTGGCAATTTGAATCGCAGCCTCATTATCACAAAAAATAGGGGTTTCTTGAAAATTCAAATCGTAGTCCAACAACTGATGTTGGATCCAAATGACTTAAGAAGAACAAGCAGATGCAGCAACATATTCCGCTTCTGCTGTTGAGATTGAGACTGTGTGCTGCTTCTTGCACTGCCATGACACCAGTCTATCTCCCAAAAATTGGCATCCTCCTAAAGTCGATTTTCTATCAAGCTCACACCCACCATAATTTCTATCTGCAAAAGCATAAAGATCAAATTTAGGATTTTTCGGATACCAAAGACCCAGTTTTGGGCACCCTTTGAGATACCGAAAAATCCTTTTAACAGCAATTAAATGAGAGAGTTTAGGATTAGCCTGGTAGCGAGTACATTGGCATACCTCGAACATGACGTCTGGGCGACTAGCAGTAAGATACATGAGTGATCCGATCATTGATCGATAATGAGTTTGATCTACGGATTCACCCTCAAGACCAGGAGTCAGAAGAGGTCGTTCTGCCATGGGTGTAAGAGCAGGTTTTGCGTCTCAAAACCTGAACTTCTCCAGTACATCTTCCACATATTTTGATTGATGAATAAGGATTCTGGTTGAAGATTGTTTGACCTGAAGCCCCAAAAACATGGTCATTTCCCCAAGTGAACTCATCTCAAAATGTTTCTTCATTACCGCTTCAAACTCCTTGCAAAGTTGTTGGCTTGTCGACCCAAAAATGATGTCGTCCACATAAATTTGAAAGAGAATTTGATTTAGACCGACATGCTTGAGAAATAAGGTTTGATCAATGGTGCCTCGGGAATAGCCGTGATTGAGCAAATGCTGAGTAAGAGTAGCATACCAAGCTCGAGGAGCTTGATGCAATCCATACAAATCTTTGTCTAACTTGTAAAGATGATTTGGAATAGATGAGTTAACAAAACCAGGTGGTTGGTCAACGTATATCTCCTCCTTGACCTTGCCATACAAGAAAGCCGTCTTAACGTCCATTTGGTATACAGTAAAGTTCATGTAAGAAGCATAAGCAAGGAAGATACGAATGGCTTCCAAACAAGAAACTGGAGCATAAACTTTTGTATAATCAAGACCCTCAATTTGCCGAAAGCCTCGAACCACCAATCTTCCCTTGTTGCGCACAATGACACCTGAATCGTCTTGTTTATTTCGAAATACCCAACAAGTATCAAGAGATTTCTTTCCTTTTGGTAGCTCCACCAATTTCCAGACTCCGAGTTTCTCAAATTGATTTAATTCATCATGCATGGCTTTAACCCAACTGAGCTCATTCAGAGCCATTTCCATAGATTTAGGTTCTATTTGAGAGATGAAGCAAGACTAGAGACATGTATTAACATCCCCACTTTTACTTCTTGTTTGAACACCGTCGCCCAACTGGCCAATGACGTTATCTATCGGATGATCTCGCTGAATACGTGTAGGGATCTGATAACTAATATCATTGACAGAAACAGGAAGATTATGAATATTAACCGCTCCATCATTTGCTGTATGATTTGTAGAGGATGAATGAGGTTCATTTGAAGAATCTGCTACAAACTCTTCTACAATACTTTCCGGAAAGAGAAGTTCCATCAGATTTGAAGTTACAACCGAAGTCCCGTGGTTCATGAACTCTCTTTCCATCGGAGTTAAAGGAGTACCAATAGCATCACGAGAAGGTTGTTGAGGAGACTCAGAAGATTCAAAATGAGCAGAGGGTACCAATGGAGGATCAGAAGAAATCAATGGTGGTCGATAGACAACTTCATCTTCTTCGTCTTCACTAGGAATCTTCGAATTGGAAGTAGATCCTTTTTTATTATCTGAAGACACATTGAATGATTTGAAAAGAGATGTGTAGTCAGATAACCAATCAGGACCCACTCTTGCATCTGTCTCATTTTCTTCAAGCGAACGAACATCAGAGGATTCTACAATCTGTTTAGTCTTCTTAGTGTAAACCCTGCGCAGTTTGAGCAGCATATCCAACAAAGTAAGAGTCATCGGCTTTGGCATTTAATTTGGGATTGGATTCCAAGTGGAGAAGGGTGCAAGGGTAGCCAAATACTCGGAAATGACTGACAGATGGCTTGTGTCCAAATAAAATCTCATACAACGTCTTCATTCTAGCTTTGTTGATTAGCACACGATTTTGAACATAACATGCGGTGTTAATCGCCTCTGCCCAGAAGAATAGAGGAAGCTTGGAATCACATAGCATCGTCCTTGTGGCATCTTTTAGAGTTCGATTCCGACGTTCGGCAACCCCGTTTTGTTGAGGTGTTCGAACAGAACTAAATTGACGCACAATCCCTTTCTCAGCGCAAAAATGATCAAGAATAGCGTTTTTGAACTCTGTTCCATTATCGTTACGTAGCGCTTTCACTCGATTTTTAGTCTGATTTTCGATCATCACAATGAATCTTTTGATAAGGTCTGCAATTTCAGCTTTGTTAGACAGAAAGAAAACCCAAGTGAAACGAGAGTAATCATTTATCACAACAAGGCAGAAAGAGTTGCGATT